GTCGGTCGTATTGTAATGAGCGATTTAGTGGGCAACTTCATTCTGTTAATTTTGTGTCACGGTGCGTGCGCATCGTAAAATTTCACTCTCATCAATTTTTCATAACGCGCATAAAGAAGTATATCTTCAAAAATATCTAGACTAACTATAAATAGAATTAAAGACCCTTGTGAACTCAATAGTTTCTTTAAGGACGTCTCCATATGTGTGTTTCGCTAACCTGACAACACTACAAGACCCAATAACAATATTTCTGGAAATATCAAATCTATGAAACGTTAACAATGTAATATCTATTGAATTTCCATTTCATTTGATCGTAAACGGGTTTAACAATCGTGGGGAAGGGGTGTAGCGAACTGATCACGATCGGCTTGACGAGTAATAGGATGCTTTGATTAACAAACAACTAGATCCATATTGTTGGTGTTACGTCTGTTTATTGTTGTCTATTGTACTGTGATTCTCTGTTGGGAATTGTTGTTATTATCATTTGTAATGATATGTATGGACTAACTTTTATAAGACTAAGCAAAGACGACCAGAAAAATGCCAAATAAATTATTGCTATGTAACTTTCGATTCTAGAATAGTCTCACCTTTAAAGTTTTTCCTAAGTAAATTTTCAATGAATATAAAAACTTTCAGCGTATGTATCCCACGGAAGTATATTTGTAAATCCCGTTAAAAGATCGCGTTTGGTTTGATTAATTAACTATAAGATGATTAAATTATTTTTAAAGGATTTAAATAAATTCTTTATTGGTTTTATTGTTAATTTACATTGGCTTTTGTGACTGAAATATGCTTTGCTGGTATTTTAAGATCACTGCAATTTAAAGTAGGTTTGAATAAATATGAAATAAATTAAATGCATCTACCTAACTTTTTTTAGGGACTGAGAGGCCGAAACTTCTTCAAGGTGTCCGTGCCTTGGTGGCACGCAGAGTATGTGGAACTTGACGGTCTGCGGATGTTGGGAGCAGACTGGGGGCCCAAGGTATTTTATGACCTTCCTACTATACGACTCCTTGCACTCTCTTACCCGATGTCCGATCTCCACCCAAGGTCAGAGCCCGAACTAAGTAAGGGGGGTTCCTGTGATTAACACTATAACACGACTAGCGGCGCCACCCCTAGGTCGCCCGACTTACGGTTCGTCGAGGCAATCGTCGACGACCAACGACGCTGGCCTCCACAGTACGGCAGAGGCCACTCAGGAGCTGCCACTGGTGTTCCGGTACACATAACGTAACCATAATTTTTTTTTGTCAAAGCGGGACATTTGCGGAATTATATAATAAAAAACAAGTATTTAATGTTTTACAAGTATTTTTTTATAAAAATAGAATAACACAAAACAATCTAAAGCACTAAACACAAAATAGTTAGTGCTCTGTAATAGTACCTCTTTTGTTAAATTAGCCCATTTAAATACTTATATTGAATTCAAAAATAAATTTATCGTTTGGTCTGTTTGCAAAAGCGGAACTACGTTGGCCTGACTGACGACAGCGGGACAGAATGCCCGAAAGCGGGACTGTCCCGCCCAAATCGGGACGTATGGTCGCATTAGGTATACCCCGCTGGGGCTACTCTTGCGGTTGCTCTCCCACATTAGTTCCGTAGAATTGCAGCTCTATAGAACTACTCTGTCGTGTAGTGCGCTAGAGTAAGCTACCTATCACCTCTGCATCATGTGAGAGAGAAACACATCGAACTCTAAACATCTTTACAGACCCGTTGATGTTCCTGACGCATAAATCAAGTTGCCCTCCCAGCCTAAGTTCTCAGCGGGCTCCAAAAAACCGCAATTTTTTTCAACGCCCCTTGTGATAAATGGCCTACGCCAGGAATTTCTTTATAACGGTGAATTATTATTGAATAAGGTCGCTTATTAATTCTATTCACAGCCCTAATTAATTACTGCGATGATGACACGTCATTCAGGACGTTGGAAGTTATTTCAAAGTCTCCGAACGATGGGAAAATGTAAATTTGAATTGAAATATAATCAAAGTAGCCTTATCATCATCTACTTATGTTAAAACTTTTGTGCATATTTTATACAAGTTGACGTGGAATATTATTGTTTGATCGCCTCTTTTCAGAGTAATTGTAAGAACTAAAATCAAATCAGTAGACTTATGTAATTAAAAAATGTATTGCATTATCTTTATTATTATTATTATATTGTTTTGTTTTTTCACGAATAGCGCACAAAATAGCACAAAATAACTAGTAGCTCAATTTCATAAAATTCAAAGTTATTAGTTACGTCCTTACGGGAGGATGCGGAGGGGTACCCTAACCGGGAAAAAACGTCCGTAACATAAGATTTTTATTAGTAATGCACACAGTGTACGACTTAACTTTGTAATAACGTACAAAAATAACATATTTTTATTATATATGTTTTATAAATCATTGTGAATAAAATAAAGCTGATAACTTTGTAAAGTAGTTTTATCCTTATTTTTATCAATAAAAAAAATCATATTAAAAATATATATACCCGAATAATTATTTTCTTTATACCTCGAATAGAACTTAAAATTCATATTTTTATAATAAGGAACTTCGTTCCTATCCGGTGTCCCACGACACCGCACGTTTTTTTTAGCGGCGCTTACTTACTACCTAGCTTGACAAATTATAAATCGATTCTCAGATTCTCTGAAAAAATATCCTAATGAAACGGAGAACGAAACCGGGTAAGGAACCGGGTAAATTGTTCGAAATTTATTTACTTTTCTGTCCGTAACTTAGATTAAGTACGGTTCCTAACAATTGAAATGTTCCGTGAGTTCTTGAATAACTCATTTCGTGTTACTTATTTGAGTTGAACATTGACTTGAAAGGCTTAATAGTAAATTTTAAAAGTACTGTATTTTTTTTTAAATTACTATTATTTATTGGTGGTAGAACCTCTTGTGATTGCGCACGGGTAGGTACCACCACCCTGCCTATTTCTGCCGTGAAGCAGTAATGCGTTTCGGTTTGAGGGGTGGGGCAGCCGTTGTTACTATACGGAGACCTTAGAACTTATATCTCAAGGTGGGTGACGCATTTACTTTGTAGATGTGTATGGGCTCCAGTAACCACTTAATACCAGGTGGACTGTGAGCTCGTCGACCCATATAAGCTATAAAAACGGTGATAAATTGTCGTTGCAGACGAGTTCAAAGGCTTCCTGGCAGTAAGTGGTTGTAGCCTCAAGGCGCTCGGTGTTCTAAAAATATGAAGTGAAAATTTTCAACTATGCAAATACTACTATCTTATACCCCAATGTCGAGAATTACTTTACGAAAATGTTATCTACCAAACATTAGGTATTTAGATCGAAAGATAATTATAATTTCGGTCGTAAATCTTTTTGATATCGTTACAAAGATAAATTGTAAATAGACGTCTAAAGGTATTAGTAAATTTTATTGTACAAACAACACCAAGTAATAATATTTAAGTGTAAATAATATTGTTTTTGTGTACAGCTAGATGAATGTTTACATCGACCGTTTACTTTTAGTTTTAGTTGGATTTATTTAATATTATATTTTATTTTTATGAGATTGAAGGGATATCATGTTTAAATTTTACAGAAAGAAAATAATATATAGATGTGTATTCTTGTGGTTTAATCTAGCATTTAACGTATATATTAAATAACATATGAGATATTTCGAAAATAAATCTGATTAAGGTATTTATTTGAACTAGAGGTCCCGCAGTAGTCGAAATTCGACTATAATTAATTGGAATTGTAAGTTTGTACACTATTATGATTGTATTTTATACTTCTATAATCACAAATTTCGCCAAGACTACACTATAAAAAATATTAACAACGACAAACAATATTTAATCTATTCTCAATTTGACAACAGACGTCAAGAACAAAAGTTTGACAATAAATAGTATGCATGCGTGTGTGCGTCAAATACATGGTATGTAGTGTGTGTAATGTTTTCTTTATTGATTTAATGTATCTTTTATGCATTATTTAAAAAAAAAATTAGCATTGTGCACTTCTTCTCTATATTCTCTATAAGTGTGGAAAATTTCATACTCCTCCGTCCGCGCAATTTTCGTAAAAAGGAATACAAAGTTTTTGCTTCACGTATTAATATATAGATGTGTATTCTTGTGGTTTAATCTAGCATTTAACGTATATATTAAATAACATATGAGATGTTTCGAAAATAAATTCTGATTAAGGTATTCATTTTAATTTGAATGTTGTGTTAAGTAAAGTTTATTTGAAATGTATTAGATCGAATAAACACTGCAGGGAAAATAAAATATTGTTATACGTAATTTTGGAATATAATTTATTATGATCTATATGTTTTCTTTGGGATGTCCATACAATATTAGAGCCGCTTAATTATTCAGTTATTTATTTCATACTCATGAGGTAAATATCGTCAATAAATCCCATTTTAATCATTACTCTTATTTGTTTTAAATAATTTATGATATCCAATTTTATATTGGACATCGTTATATCGTTATAATTAGGACTTGTATATCTCAGCCATTTGACCACTTAACATCAGATTGGCTGTGAATTCGTCTGCCTATTTTAGCTATTAAACTAAAATAATATAGAAACATAAAATATTTGTAGTCCTTTTTTATGTCTTATTTTATATGAGGTTGGGGAAATCGAATCGAGAGGTGACCCAATGGATAATTCGGCTACTAAAAAACCTCCTGTCGCTTCATAATCTGTTTATAGAAAAATCGATCCTATTTAAAACTATTTTAACGTGTAATTCAAATATTCTCGATGATTTTAACAACAGATAATTCTTATTTTTTAGTTTACACTTAGAGACGAGCACGCAGCTGGTAAGTACCGACTTATTGTTCTAGACATTGTAAGTAAATTGCTAAATTACTCTTTGAGGTTTGAGGTATGTGTCCGGCCTCAAATCTGGGCTGGCCTTTTGTGCTGGATACACGATAGGACTACGGGCTCACTTTAGCAAGTTAAATCATTTAGTTTTTTGGGTTTCAGTCTTTGTCAGTAATGGTTTGTTGATACTATCAATTAGTTCGGGGTTCGCTTCCAATATCGCCTTTCCTTCGGCCGTTTCTGCAGACGGAGCCTCACCGTGGAATGTCTCTTCGGTGTACACGCTGTACTGCTTCCTCATCGTACCGTGCCACTGAACAATTAGAATCATTTTGAGTTTATGAGATTTTCAGTAGATCTAGTCAGCCTAGTTTGGAATATCTTAGGGTTTTTCACTATCATAATTATTTTGATAAATTGTTAATATGATTACAATTTTATTCTAACTTCTACACCCATTTGAACATACCGAGTACATAGATTATCATGCGTTTTTATAATTTAAGTAACTTATTATTTTAGTAGCATTGATTTTTCTTGACTTCATAAAGTTATTAAAAACACTATCAAAATATTTGATTGGCGTAGGTGGACATACGAACTTGCAGCCTATCTTAATCTTAGTTTATGTAGACTAGAGGTCCCGCAGTAGTCGAAATTCGACTATAATTAATTGGAATTGTAAGTTTGTACACTATTATGATTGTATTTTATACTTCTATAATCACAAATTTCACCAAGACTACACTATTAAAGTATTATCAAAAACAAACAATATTTAATGTATTCTCAATTTGACAATAGACGTCAAGAACAAAAGTTTGACAATAAATAGTACGCATGCGTGTGTGCGTCAAAAACATGGTATGTAGTGTGTGTAATGTTTTCTTTATTGGTTTAATGTATCTTTTATGTATTTTTTAATAAAAAATATTAGCATTGTGCACTTCTTCTCTATATTGTCTATAAGTGTGGAAAATTTCATACTCCTCCGTCCGCGCAATTTTCGTAAAAAGGGATACAAAGTTTTTGCTTCACGTTTTAATATATAGATATTGAAGCCCTTAAGCACAACGGTAACGACTTAAAGGAGAATCATCACGACAAATAAATCGGAAAGTGTAAATTCATTACATACGTTGAATTTCGATATAACAAATCATGGGATCGACTATAAATAAATTATTGAAGTAGAAATAGATAGCTACAGGCGGATGATATTTTTTTTTATTGCTTAGATGGGTGGACGAGCTCACAACCCACCTGGTGTTAAGTGGTCACTGGAGCCCATAGACATCTACAAAGTAAATTCACCACCCACCTTGAGACATAAGTTCTAAGGTCTCAGTACAGTTACAACGGCTGCCCTGTCCATCAAACCGAAACGCATTACTGCTTCACGACAGAAATAGGCAGGGTGGTGGCAACTTCCCGCGCGGACTCACAAGAGGTCCTACCACCAGTAAATATGATATAGGCAAGAAGAAGACAGCTCGTTGCTATATTAATAGATATTGTTTAAGGTTTCTACAATAGCGTAAGTAATAGCTGACCTTGTCCCACAGAGACATATTGAAGCCAAAGTTGCAATGGAAAAATTCGTGATGCTGATCATGGAATTCGGCGTCAGGCTGCCACGGCTGCCACCACTGGGCCTTAAAATTGATGCCGGAATGATCAATGATGCCGTGGTAGTAATTGTAAATGGCCACAGCGTAGAATGATGCTGGAAATATTTTTAAGATTTTATTATTACAACTACATTGAACATGATACATATCGACGCTTGAAAGGCAAACGTGACTAAGCGACAATGCGTGAACTTTACAGTAGACTAATTTAAAGTTGAAATACCTGAAAACTAAATTTATTTTAACGAATCTAGCCGTAGTAGAATCTAGCTAGTAGCTGTAGGATTGAAATGATTTTAATAGACCTAGAAATATATTTTTTTTGCACATCGAACATGGTTATTCCCTATCATTTATGTACAAAGCAGTTATTGTCGCTTAGTCACTTTTACCTTTCAAGCGTCGATATTATATATACATATTTTGTAAATTCAATTCAATATCCATTTGAATAATGATAATATTTCAAATTGCGGGGAAATTCATTTTTCAAAATCGAGTCATACCTAAATCTATTCAAAATTTAAATTAAATAAGGAACCATTGAAGCAATTGGTGTATCTATGCATAAACAGGCAAACGCAAAACGGTTAAGTACCAATTTCTTCTCTGTAATTTTTTCCGGTGTTTATATTTAGTAGCTTACGAACTTTAGTGCTATCCGTACTTTTGGGATTTTTCCCAATTATCAACAACAACATAAAAGAGAAAAATTAATACATACAATACATCTAACACTAGAAGAAGTGTCGGTGTTTTGGTCGACTTTTGATCAATAGTTTACCTACTAGTTATTATAAATAAGAAGAGTTTATAGTTCAATGAAAAAAATAAAACATTTTTTGGAGAACGTTATAAGATGAAATAATATCTAACTTTATAATTTATGATCAACAAATAATCAGTCAAAACTTACCCCAATGTGTAGGTATTGTGAAGAGAGGTAGACACATCGTTAGTTGGATATGCATAATTTCTACTGGATGGATGGCAGTTACAGAAAAGGCTGTAGGCTGTTTGTACTTATGGTGGAGCTTGTGGAAATGCTTATACAACCAAGGAGTGTGATAAAGACGATGCATAATATAGGTCGTGTAATCCTGGAAAAAAAAGGAACGGATACTTAGATCTTCTTAAAATGAATGATATTGATACACAGATAAACTTATGGTTTTTTTTTATTTCCGTATAGGCAGATGAGCTTCCGACCACCTAATGGTGAGTGGTTACCGTCGCTCATGGACGTCAGCAACGCCAGGGGCAGAGCCAAGCCGCTGCCTACCGTTTAATACTCTCCACAAGCCTCGTTTGAAGAAGGACATGTCATAGCGCTCGGGAAGCACCGTGGAGGGGAGCTCATTCCATAGCCGGATGGTACGTGGCAAAAAAGATCTCTGGAAACGCACTGTGGATGACCGCAGTGGCTCCAGGTAGTATGGATGAACTCTACTCCGGTGGCGGGTGGTGCGATGGTAATAGGGTTCATTGATTAATTTCTAAAGTATTAAAATAGATAAAAATATTCAGGGACAACTTACAATATAAATGAATATAACTGGAAACTGCAAGAAGAACCAGATCCATCCGTACTCATCGAACTGAAAATAGACTGTGCACGGATTCCCATTGAAGATGTAACAGGCTAAAAAAGCTGAGAATGAACTTGTAATAATGAGTGACAGGGTTCCTATCATGATTTCATGGCGTTCCAACTCAGGGGACAGCCATTTGTTCGGCTGGATCTTCCACTCACTGGCGAGGTGCCTTCTCTTCACGTAGAAGTACCACTGGAAGGAAAAACACTTTTCTTGGAATCTATGCTTCATTGCAATCAGTCAGCGTCAGAGAATTTAACAGTGCTCTGAATTCTAGTAAAAGATATATAGTTACAAAAAAAATTTGACGCGTATTCCTGAATTGAATTTCTTATGCCTTTGTATTTTCTTTAGACTGGCTTGGATGACGATTGCTTTTAAGGCCATTTCAAATTTGTCAATATTAATTATTATAACAAATAATCAATTGATTAGCGAAAGATAAATACTTACATGTAAAAATCCTCCGATGATAAAGTAAAATCCAAACGATACAACATTAGCTAATATGAATATGATACTGAAATTCTCCATTTTCAAGTTTCTAGATGTGAACAGCTCGAATATTTCCTCGACTGAGGCATTTTTGGTCTGCGTGTGACCCGTGATTTGCTTCAGCGCTGTGACTAGAATGACGACCCACTCTCCTGGAAAACGAATGATTAAAATTCAGAAATCTATTTCATTTAATTGGTTTTGCGTTTTGGCTTTGTACTCCTAGCTAGCTGAGTATTCGAAATTTGGGCTATGGCCCAAATTTTATATTTGATTATTAAATCCCCGGGACACCAGGCTAAGTGGCCCCTTGCTGTGTTGTGCTGTGCAGTCAGTGTGTGCCCAAAGTGCGAGTGTTTTCATCTAGCGGTGCTGCTTCGGGTTGGAGACATTCCGAGCAGCGTAACGCAGGACCCGGGAACAGGTGAGTTGATTGACACTTTTATTCTTAACATTGGTTAATAGCGGGTAGGTGTAGATCAGCCTGTGAAAGCTGCGTAACCATTTTATTTTTTAATAAAATTGGAATACGTGAGCGCCATTGAGTCTGGCCGCCCGTGTCTGTTCCCAGTCCTCCCCTACCCTTCGGGGTTAGGAGGGACTGTCACCAACACCCGAAGGCCAATCTTATTCACAGGTCTGCGGCGTAGGCGCCCTTACAGGTAGGTTTAGTTCTAGTTCTAGTTTTCATTGTTTAATTCGTTATTAGTACATTTAATTTCATACTCAATACATAGTTGTATATTGGTCGTTTAATTTAGTTTTAGATTCATTTATACGTAGTTAATTACATAATAGATTAGTTTGCTTTTTTATAATAGATAAAATTTCAATTAACTTTTTAACTTTTTTTTCATTCTACCCACATTTGCTGTTATATTATTTGTAATTATTATAGCTGTAATTTGACCACAAATTTAGTACATCTTGGTAGACTGACCATCTATCATAAGTGGTCCCTGTTGTCCTCCCCCGTTTACAGTAGCACTGGCGTTTGCATACTGCGGGTTCCAGCCCAGTTGTTCGGTAAGTAGTTGTTGTATAGTTGATTAATATTACCTCAATAGTTTTACATAGTTATTTAGAAGTTTAGATTTATTAACAGTTGGTGGAGTTCAGTGCCGGTTGGGGAGACTTGAGTGGTGGGATCCCGAAGTCTGTGGACCCCTGGGCGGTGGACCTCTCGGCTTACTGATCTCAAAATTATTTTGACATCTTTNAAAACAACAAGCCCATCGTATTATATTTAAGTATTTATTTATTTTGTCGATGTGAGTGTGCCGAACACGCTGCGAACAGTCCCCTCCCATCTCGTCCTGCATCTATATCACCCCTGCCCTATGTGGCAGGGAGCTTCGTCCCGGGCAGTGGGGATTGCCCCGAGGCCCGTTCCGTACCCCCGAAAGGGGGTACGACGACCCTTCTTGTTGATTATTAAATAATAATTGATTATAAAATAATTATTGAAGTATTATCTAATACTTCAATAATTATTTAAATCGAACTTGTAGTTTCAGATGAGTACGACTAAAAAAAAGCTGGGAGCTTTGTATTATATTGCAGAATTTTACCACGTCCGGACATATTTCCGGACATATTACAGAAAAATCTTCAAAAATTATTAATATCTGTACATACATAAATTATACATGTTGATTTACAATAATTTTTTTTTAAATATTCATATATTTACAAAAAGCATCACCATGATTATGGTAATTGTGTTTTACTATGAGGAGTGTATTTTTATGTTTTTTAAGATAATATTGAAATAATCCTCGTGATAAGTTATCTAATTAGATGCAGACACTATTAGATGGCTATTAGGTGCAGACGAGATTTCAGATTTTCAAGCCTGCTGCTGAGGATGAGCATTACATAAACAGGTAGAGTAGGGTAAGTACTACCTTCCTATGTCTGCCGTGAAGCAGTTATGCGTTTCGGTTTGAAGGGTGGGCAGCCGTTGTAACTGTACTGAGACCTTAGAACTTATATCTCAAGGTGGGTGGCGCATTTACGTTGTAGATGTCAATGCGCTCCAATAACCACTTAACACCAGGTAGGCTGTGAGATCGTCCACCCATCACAGCAATATAAAAAACAAAGCATGAGGGTAGCCTCTACCCGTGGGCTAAGCCAGTCATCAGTAAATACCTCTGGATATGCGCCGCGAATGAGTGCAATGGTACCCAGAAATGTGGGTAAGCTCAGTTTCGATACAGATATTATTCCTTTAGTTGAAAGGCTTAGACGGGATTGTCTCGGATAATACCTCAAAGCGCATCTCATGAAACATACAGAGCAACCGAGAACTATGAATTATTCGTAACATACAGCGCATTACGAATGCAGGAATATTGATTAGATAAGCGCAGTGAACTAATAATTGTATAATAAATATTAAATAAATGATTAAAATTAGTTTTACGGTTTAAAAGCGCCTTTAATCACTTCCAATTACTTCCGAAGTTCCGATTGCTTTACATTTTTCAATTTCATTACACAAGAGGTCCTACCACCAGTGAGTTTCTGCTGAATTTACTGTCGACCTGTCAATGCTGATATTCATGAGAAACGGCTACTATTTACCAACAATTAGAGTAATCTAGTCTATCTCTGAAGTCAAAAAAATGCTCAAGTCGACATAAGAATAGGACACAAATCTGTTTATTACAATATGACGTCGCCAACTCAAAACAGTCAAACTGAAACTATACGCTGTCTTCGCCCTAGTGTTTAGATATCAATAAAACAACGTAGACTTACAACCAACAGTACAATATATACGTGAAGTAAAAACTTTCTACCCCTTTTTCCGAAAACTGCGTAGACGGAGGAGTATGAAATAGAGAATTAGAGACTTATAGAGAATTTAAAGAAGGAGTGCAGAATGTTATTCCTTTTTTATTTTGTGCATAAAAAATACATTAAATCAATACAAAAAACATTACACACACTACCATGTATTTGACACAACACACCTAAATATACTCCTTGTTTATTGTTATCGTTTTAAGTCTGTGGTAAAATTGAGAATAGATTCATATTGTTTGTCTTTATTTGTATTATTAGTCTTGGCGAAACCTGTGATTATAGAAGTATAGTCGACAATAGAATCAATAATAATATTCAAACTTATAATTTCAATTAATTATAGTCGAATTTCCTTATTAATAATGTATACATTTTTAAACACTTGAACTTGGATAGAAATATGTTGCCAAATACCACGACTCAATCAATGCTTTTGATAGCGTATCAGCTAATAACATTACTATTCGATAATGTTATGATAACGTGTTGTCGTTACGTTGATTGCATTATTTAAAGAACGTATCACTAATTACATATTATCTATATATTAATACGTGAAGCAAAAACTTTGTATCCCTTTTACGAAAATCGCGCGGACGGAGGAGTATGAAATTTTCCACACTTATAAAGAATATAGAGAAGAAGTGCACAATGCTAATATTATTTTAAAATAATGCGTAAAATATACATTAAATCAATAAATAAATCATTACACACCCTACCATGTATTTGACACACACACGCATGCATACTATTTGTTTATTGTCAAACTTTTCTTTGCATTCTGTCAGTTATAGTCTGTCAAATTGAGAATATTTTAAATATTGTTTTCTCTTTACTATTATTTGTCTAAAGTGTAGTTTTGACGAAATCTGTGATTAAAGAAGTATTTAATAGTCTTTGACAATAGAATCATAATAGCGTACAAACTTATAATTTCCATTAGTTATAGTCGAATTTCGACTACCACGGGACCACTAGTTATTCCAATTACGTCACGCATTTCATTAAGTACCGGATTTTAATAAGAGATTTTAAGTTCCTTAAAGTGTTCTAGCAGACTAAATCTTGGCTTAAATTGTCATGCTTTACACTATACTCCGCGTATCTAAGACCTTGAGATCTTCTTATCGTAAAAATTAAACCCCTTAGAAAAAGACTGCCAGACACCGTTGATTCTTTCTGTATGAAAAACAAAAGTGAAGAGCTTACGATCCATCTGGTGTTAAGAGATGACCGGATGCCATAAATGTCAACAATATAAACGAAGAAACCCATTTTGAGAAATGATTTCTAAGTTCCAAGTCATAGTTTTTACAGTACAAACTGTATCTACCTACCTACCTACCCTACCACAAGTGAAGACGCTACCAGTATGGCGTCCTACTCTCAGTAAGTCACCGTACTCTCAATAGACGTCCTACTATCAATATAGACACCCTATCACTAGTATAGACGCCCTACCCCCCATCAGACGCCGTACCCTCAATAAGTCACCTCACCACCGTTCTCTTATCATGTTTCAGAATCAACTTAAAGCATTGTTGCATGACATTTGGATTACATTAAATGTCTGCCTATTAGATAACGCTATTTGTTTCTTTCAAGTTGAAACCCCACATGATGTTCAGAACCTACATATACATAGGTTTATGAAAACTATTAAAGAACATCTGTGCAATAAAGCTTACTATAAAGTCAATGATTATCTAGAAGATTACACAAAGTGGGAATGAGTGGCTCGCTCCGGGAATTTCAATATTGTAATAATTGTTATGTTATAATACTCATTATAAAAATGAATATTTAACAAAAAACTTATATTAAAAAAAAAAAAAAACTAATATTAAAAAAAAAAGACATGCCCGCTGAGTTTCTTGCCAATTCTTCTCAGGACGGAGGCTAGTTCTTGTGAATTGGCGGTAGTTCTTTTGACGTTCAACAAGTATGTACTTTCATTTATGTTGAATAATTTTTTTTGATTTGATTTGATTTGATTTGACACAGATGGTATAGCGTTTCATAGCATAGTATTTTCATCGGTTTTCATGAGCCTTAGGTATAATTAAAGCTACTTTTACATTTATTATTATTATTATCTATTTCGCTTTTACAGTATAAATTAAACACGAAGAGATTAAGCCGTAAAATTAGTTTTAATTATCTTCCTTAACTATCGAGTTGCACAAATAATAAAGATGCATTTCTCACAGAAGAAACACAAAGGTATCGACTTTTTGCTTTTTCGTGATCTAATAAATCACATTATTAATGCTAAATTGATAATCAGATCCTTTGTTTGCGCATAAATTGTACATGTCATTAGAATTATCTACATACATGATGATATGATGGAAAATATATCTGAAGGTTATCAATGTGTACATAGAGGTTGTTTTATTTTTATTTGTGAAGGAATGATACATTTTGTTGCTTTTTTTTATCACTTTCTATTTAAGGATCAAGGGCTTTCTTGTTCGTCTGTTTGGGTGGAGTGTATTGGTAGTAATTAATTTACACATTTGCTAGTCTTGAACATTTTGAAGTAGTTCGGAAGTAGACAACAGGGCAAGAAAATGCGGAGAAAACGCGGAAAAGAAAGTTTTTCAGTGTTAAGTTCGTTTTAAAGCTATTGTTTACTTTCTTATCTGTTGTTTCAATTAACAAACCAGTATACAAAGTTTGTATATAAAGTTGGTATGGTAAAGTTGGAATATAAAGCCGGTATGGTTGGTATATAAAGTGGGTATGGTAAAGTTGGAATATAAAGCCGGTATGGTTGGTATATAAAGTTCGCTAAAATTAAAGCTGGCATTGCCACAGGGATGCCACATCGCTGAATTCCATAAATACTTTGTACAAGTCTCAGTTGATGGAAGATAATGATGATGAGATGGAACCTACAAAGTGAAAATCAACCCTCGCCACAACATAAAAAAATGTATCCTTCGTATAAGCCCTCAGTAGGTTCCGTAACTCTCAACACGGCTTGAAATTTAATTGAGTCTTCTGACGAAATTCCTAATGGGCATGAAACGAAATATAATTAATTTCATCTTAAACATCATCGTATTATGCTTGTTAAATATTAAAACGTTGTAACTCTGTTCCGAAAATCCATAATTCTGAGAAGTACCAGTGAAACAAACTCAGTTTGTTTATATTATTTCTCTACTTTTAGTATTTTTGTATCCATTCGTTTGGATTCCCTGTTAATCGAATGCTAACAAAAATCTACCGCATGAAGAACAGAATGTAGAATAAAATAAAAAAGGATTGTGTGGTTTTATGAAACCACAGTAAAAGTGATACTTTTTTCACATTATAGACATTTAACTCTGACAAACAACATTTACTTTAAACACTGATAAAAACAAAAACAAAATAGCGTAGATCACTGGCACAAATGAGTACTAGTCTATACACTACACAGTCAGCTGCTGCGAACTATAGGCGCCGCCATATTGGCCTTGGCTGCTCTGACGAGCGCCTTTCACTTTATCCCTACCCCGCGGCCAACCGTCACGCGACATGCAACACACAGACGAAAAAGTTTGAGACGATGTAATAAAAGTTTCATTTTAAAATTATCTCGAGAACACTTCACTCCCAAATGGTACTATTTATTTGATAATGTTTAATAATGATAGCTTTGTACTACACGAACCTTACTCATTATATTTTATTAAATGTAAGTTCGATTGAAGAATTCGTGGTATTTTCTTGTTACTACGCAGATAAAGCCCTCACAAGAGATATATTCTCTTTTTCAATTTTCAGTTCAAATTCAATTTTCTATCATATTAAGGCAATTATTATAGCAAAAATGTAATTGATCTTGAATTTTTGTTAATATTAATTTGTTTTCTTTTGGAAATGTAAAACAGCACTAAAAAATTTAATTCGAATTTGGAAAGTACTAGTTTTTTTTGGAAAATCACAAAATTGGTAGAAAATTCCGAATGCTGAAGGTTATTTTGTTTTGTATTGCATGGAATGGTGTGTGGGCTCATGGTTAATCTGGTAACAAGTGGCTACTGGAGCAGTATATACTACAATTATCACTTAAGACATAAGAGCATCTGTATTATTGTTAAGTTAATAATAATAATAATAAAAAGGCGTAGGGAAGTGGTGACCCCATCGCCCGCGGGTGAAACAATCAATATGAGATGGTTGTTCCATCCGCGCAAGCAACCAGCGCTAGCCGAAGGTGTAAGGCACCGTGCCGAGCGGCTGCATGGCCTAGGGCGCTAAGTCTAGGTCGTGAACGGTCCCCTTGGAGTAACTGGCGACCCTCCACTGTATTCTAGCCTTCTGCANACAGAAATAATCCCGGTAGTTGTGTCGGTGAATGGTTTGGTCCCTAAAAGCCTCTCAAAACATCTCGAGAGGCTTGGTCTCAACAAAAAGTCGGTGGTGGCCCAAATGCAAAAAGCAGTCTTGCTCGACAATGCCCGTATAGTTCGCCGGTTTCTCTCCCAATAGTCCCTGGCGCTCCGGCCGATTGTTGCCCACCTCGCCGAAGTGTGTCCTACCGTCTTCCCAGGCGTGGCAGTGTTTAATACACATAATAATAAATATTTTCTAACAATCACGCCACGTTAACTGGTCCCGTGATAAGTTCGTAAAGAACTTGTGTTACAGGTACCAGATAACGGAAATAAATGTAAGATTTTTATTATACACATACATATATTTAATATACATCCATAACCCTGGAAAATACATTTATATTTATCATACAAATATCTTCCATTGGCGGGATTCGGGATTTGTTGTTAACTGTATATGTTCGAAGTCGTCATGGCCTAAAGGATAAGGTCCCCGACTCATTCGTATCGAGCGATGTCGTTGTGCCGGCGTTCGAATCTCACAGACTTAAACCAATTTTTCTAATGAAATACATGCTTGGCACATGTTCAAAAGTAACATCCAAGACGAAGAAACAGCATCGTGTAATAAAAAATCAAACCCGCAATAATTATATTAGCGTAATTACTAGTGGTAGGGCATGTTTTGAGGCCACACGAGTAGGTACCACCACCCTGGCTATTTCTGCCCTGAAGTAGCAATGCGTTTCGGTTTAAAGGGTGGGGCAGCCGTTGTAACTATACTGAGACCTTAGAACTCAGATCTCAAGGTGGGTGGCGCATTTACGTTGTAGATGTCCATGGGCCTTTTTTTTTGGGTCAGTGGCCGAACCTCCTACAAGGTTCCCGCGCCTTGGGAGCACGCGGGGTATGTGGGACTTGACGATCTGCAAGGTGTTGGGAGCAGACCGCGGGCCCAAGGAATTTTAGGGCCCTACCGCACAAAACGACTCCCCTGCACTCTTATACCCGACGTTCGATCTCCGTCCGGGGTCAAAACCCGGTAAGAGTAGAGGGTTCCCGCGGTCAACACTACAACCAAACACGTGGCGCCACCCCGAGGACGCCCGACCGACGGATCATCGAGGCGATAGTCGACGACCAACGACGTCGGTCTCCGCGGTACGGTGGTCCTACCAGGCCGCCCGGGTGATGCCGTTGGTGTTCTGGGATACCACGCTAGGCCAGAACCAGCCTGCCGGGTCGGAATGCGATACACCGCCGACCGGGTTGCTCTTCCACAGTATGTTCGGCGACGACAGCGACGACGAAAATGCGGACCGCATCGCAGTCCGCAGCCGTCAACGCGTCGTCCCGTCCTCCTGGTGCCAGCGTGCTGTGGTGGTAGCGTGCGGCGCAGCCTCAACCCCCTTAGGTCGCCCCGTGACCATCACTGGGAGGAGACTACCTCCTCATAGGGGCCGGAGCTGGATCAACGCTCTCCTCCGACCCCCGGCTCGGCGGCGGCAGCACGGCGCCGAGAGGGAAGAAGAGCTCTCCCTCTCCTGTTCCGCCGCCTCCTTCTGCGAGGTGATGGGCTCGCAGAAGTCGAGCATCGCCTGCCAGGACTCATCGCTGTCGAGCATCGTAGCCGCGACGGTCGGAAGCGACAAGTCCGGTCCTATTTTTGCAACCAGTACACGGCGCAGCGAAAGCGGGGCAGTACGCGAGCGTGTGCTCCGCCATGTCCTCGTTGCAGCCACTGCAGTGGTGGAACTTCAACATCCAGTAACCACTTAACACCAGGTGGACTTATGAGATGGTGGTATTAGCCCGAGTGAGCTCATAATACGCTTTACCGCCCTAATCGCAAGCTGAGGTAAAAATTCAAAGCCGTTTTCAGTTAACTTCTTTGTTAACTCTTAATAAAAGTCACTGACCTCTTAAAATTGATCCAAAGGTAAACACCGCCAGAGTCGCTATAAACGTGGAAATGAATTCCGGTAGTCTCTCGAAGAAATTTTCCAAGTTTTCGGCGTATCTTTCGATCCATTTCACGCCTTCCGTCAAAGGATCTTTATGTTTTTGTTCGTGTTTCTCTGTAATTTTGGATCCATTCTCGCTTTTACCGTTTCTGTGCAACGTATCGGAGGCCTTCATTCTAAAAAATAAATAATATGTATTTTATTTGAAATAATAATTGTAAATAGACTTGCTTTAACAAAAACAGTCTTCAAATAGAAAAAAAAATAGATATTCAAAAACAAATGAATATACACTAAAAACAATAATCATCGAAATCGGTTGGCGTGATATTGAGTTATTGAGTTATTCATCTATTTGTTGCGCACGTACTTAATGCAAATTTAAGACTTATATGGTTTTCTCATGGGCGCCATTATCAGAACTGGACTAAATTGAAATGGGACCACACGGGAAGCGTCAGCTTTCTAATAAAAAAAGAATCATCAAAATCGATTCACCCAGTCAAAAGTTATGAGGTAACAAACATAAAAAAGCATACAGTCGAATTGAGAACCTCCCCCTTTTTTGAAGTCGGTTAAAATTGAGATATTATAAAATACTTCCAAGCTGTGAAGGCGAATGAACAGCTGCTAATCGTGAATTTTATCACATTTGTTAATACTTAAATGAAAATGATAAATTGACTACGTAAGAACACTTGATCAGATATAAACATGGAATGTTTAATTAAAAAAAAAACAAATGTAACCCATTAACACACACAAAATATCACGGGCCGTCTTATCGCTAAGAGTGGTCTCTTCCAGATAATCGTTAGGCCGACAAAAGTCATCTAAGGAAATAAACTAGCCGTGGTGTACTTACATAATATAAAAAAGTATATTTCAATCAATATCAATAATCGAATGATAATATTATTTTATTATACCATTATTATTTCCAAAATCACATGGTTTATTTTCATTGAAAAAAGGGTGGGTGAGCTCACGGCCCACCTGGTGTTAAGTGCAGTAGCCACTTAGACACATACATCATAGAGCACGGAGACATCAACAAAGTACATGTCGCCATTCACCTTGATAGATAAGTTTTTGAGTTTTAGATTTTACAGTACCACGGCTGATCCTACCTTTTAAACTAAACGCGTTACTGCCCTGCCGCAAAAAGAGGCAGATCAGTAGAACCTACCCGTGTGAGTCAATAAAATAGGGCATCTTGCAAGCCAGTATCCAATGCCTATAATATAATATATAACTAGTCAGGTCATAAGTATTGTCACACAGTAAAAACTTTTCTTTTAGAATGCTGGCCACAAAAAAGTATATTGAATTCAAATTTCGAATTGTTCATGAAAATAAAAATGTATACTTTTAGAATTTTACTCATTTTTAAATATGGAGTGGACGCTTAAAGAAGATCGTGTTGCAGTTATTGCGTTGCATCGTTGCGGTTACGCGCCAATTCAAATTTTTAACATACTGAAAAATTTGAATATAACCAAAAGATTCGTTTATCGTACCATCAAACGATACAAAGAAGACTCTAGTGTAGATGACAGGTCAAGAAGTGGTCGCCCTCGGTCTGTTAGGACTCCAGCAGTGATAAAAGCTGTGAAGGCGCGAATTCAAAGAAATCCCAAACGTAAGCAGAAACTGTTGGCCCTTCAGATGGGGTTAAGCAGAACCACGGTGAAAAAGGTGTTAAATGAAGACTTAGGGCTTCGGGCATATCGAAGAAAAACAGGACATCGTTTGAATGCTCGTCTAATGGACCTGAGACTGAAGAGATGCCGCGCTTTGTTGAAGCGGTACGCGGGAAAAAAATATCGGGAAATTCTTTTTTCGGATGAAAAAATTTTTACCGTAGAAGAGAGCTACAACAAACAAAATGATAAGGTGTACGCACACAGTAGTGAAGAAGCGAGCAACCGTATTCCGCGTGTCCAACGAGGTCATTTTCCATCCTCGCTCATGGTATGGTTGGGAGTTTCTTATTGGGGCTTAACAGAGGTACATTTTTGTGAGAAAGGTGTAAAAACGAATGCAGTTGTGTATCAAAATACAGTCCTGACGAACCTTGTGGAACCTGTTTCTCATACCATGTTCAATAACAGGCACTGGGTATTCCAACAAGATTCGGCGCCAGCTCATAGAGCGAAGAGCACACAAGACTGGCTGGCGGCGCGTGAAATCGACTTCATCCGGCACGAAGATTGGCCCTCCTCCAGTCCAGATTTGAATCCGTTACATTACAAGATATGGCAACACTTTGAGGAAAAGGCGTGCCCAAAGCCTCATCCCAATTTGGAGTCACTCAAGACATCCTTGATTAAGGCAGCCGCCGATATTGACATGGACCTCGTTCGTGCTGCGATAGACGACTGGCCGCGCAGTTTGAAGGCCTGTATTGAAAATCACGGAGGTCATTTTGAATAAACTTTAGTGTCATAAGAATCTATGTTTTGTTAAGATCATTTTGGTATATGAATGGTTACATAATGAATAAACTTGTTTCAATTATTTTACATTAAACATGTGACAGAATTTATGACCTGACTAGGTATTATTATGTTGACAGTGATTGACTGTGTCTACGATTTTACCCTTCAAAGATATTATTAAGCTGTCAGCAATACTTTTTAATCATATTAGAAAATTGACGATTTGCAGGAGAATTGCGATTTTGATTTGATTTGATTTGAATGATATTTAGGCTATAAAGCGGTAGCTTGTCTATTGATTTAGATTCGGACAATTTGCTTAATTACTGGTGGTAGGACCTCTTGTAGGTTCACACGGGTAGGTACCACCACCCTGCCTATTTTTGCCGTGGAGCAGTAATGCGTTTCGGTTTGAACGGTAGGAAAGCCGTTGTAACTATACTGAGACCTTAGAACTCATATCTCAAGGTGTGTGGCGGTATTTACGTTGTAGATGTCTATGAGCTTCGGTAACCATTAACAACAGGTGGGCTGTAAGCTCGTCCACCCATCTAAGCAATAAACAAAAAGACAATTTTTGTCACCCATGCTATACCTTACCCGGTACTGTACACAGAAAACTGCCTGGTATAACACAATAAGTTTTATCAACCTTTGAAAATACACAAAAAGAGCCTTTCTAGCATAATCAGTCATAATCCAAATTACCTTCAGAAACTGTATAAGATCACATTAATTTAAGCACAACACGTCTATTTTCTTGTTAAAGCCATACGCGAATGAAAGTATAATGAAAGCAAAAACGCGTGTTACTTATCCGCATCGATAAGCTTATGTCATGTGTCTAATTATTGGCGATTTTTTTATTATTTAATCTGATAACAAAACGACCTGTGTCCTTAATACTAAGATTCTAAATGACAGAATGATTCCACAGAACTCTACTCGACGTGTTTTTGTTGAAGCCCAGTCGAAAAGCTGTTGGGACGACCTTTTCCTGAAAGAGTTCAGTGATTTTTATCAAACGATAAACATGGTTACGTGATTCGAATCACGGATGGCTTTTGAACGGAGTGATTGGCAGAACGGCTGAGTTTCACGTGTGACGACCAACTTCAGTCAATTCTAGATTTCGAATTCATCCTATTTTCTACTGGCGGTAGGACCTCTTGTGAGTCCGCACGGGTAGGCAACACCACCCTGCCTATTTCTGCCGTGAAGCAGTAATGCGTTTCGGTTTGAAGAGTGGGGCAGCCGTTGTAACTATATTACCCTTCAATAGAACTTTAAAACCTTAGAACTCATATTTCAAGGGGGGTGGTGGCTTTTAAGTTGTGGATGTCTATGTTAACCACTTAACACCAGGTGGGCTGTGAGCTCGTCCACAGACCTATGCAATACAAAAAATTGTATATAGTGAAGGGAATGAGCTGTTCTCAAATTCTTCATCAAATAAAACTTGCCCTTGTCTCTCATAATGTGAGGCCGTCTTAGCATTAGCAACCGTCCTTGGAATACCTGTACTATACCGTGCCTACATGGGGCTAAATTTCCGTATATTCATTGCAACGCACCATATGGAGGGTGTTTTCTATTTCTTAGTTAATATTATTGAAGCTATACTTCTTTTGGCGCGTTATGAAAAATTGATGAGAGTGAAATTTTACGATGCGCGCGCACCGTGACACAAAATTAACAGAAATGAAGTTGCCCACTAAATCGCTCATTATAAATACGACCGACGTAATTTGGCGAGTCTGAATATAGCCGCAGGTGAACTTTCGCGCGTGTACACTCGCAAAAAAAAGTGTTATTAGCATTCATTTTTTAGTAATATAAATGACAAAATTATTATTTAATATAATTCATACTAAATATTATTAAATTATTAACGTTAAATATTTATTATTAATTATTTAAATAAAAAAAAGAAATAAATTTAATAAAAAAAAGTATAACTTCTTACGCGCGTACATAAGTACACGCACCCTTTTTTATCTACCTAATATGTACATATTCACGATCGATTTCCACAATGAAGGAATGGCATCGTGTAATAAAATATAACCTTCAGAACTTGTAAATTAGCGTTGTTACGCACACGCATTATTTCTCCCTATTATCTCGCACTCTGCAAATTAGGATATGGCAACACTTAAACAAGGCAAGCTGGAAGTAAAGCGACGCTATATAAAATCTTCATTTAATTTGTATATTTTGATACCGATAGCTTTTTTTATTGTTGAGATAGGTGGAAGAACTCACGGCCCACATCGTGTTAAGTAATCACTGAAGCCCATATACATCCACAACGTAATTACCACCACCTGTCTTGAGACATGAGTTATAAGGTCTCAGTTTTACAGTACTGCTTCATGGCAAAAATAGGCAGGGTGGTGATACCTACCCGTGCGGACTCTCAAGTCCTACCACCAGTAAAATAGTGTAATAGTTTTCTCTAAAAAGGTTTTCAAGGTGCGTGGCGCATTTACGTTGTAGATGTCTATGGGCCCCAGTAACCACTTAACACCAGGTGGGCTGTGAGCTAGTCCACCCATCTAAGCAATAAAAAAAAAAACAATAGGACTGGCAGCTCCTGATTGCAGCACGTAGTCACGTAGGTACCATTAAAATGTATGAAAGATAACCTCAATTATCGGCTAATTGCAATCAAAGAATTAGCTTAATCGTAAGTAATTACTGTCTTACGCATAACATTGTTTCAATGTCGATT